TCATCACAACTGGTACATATACTTTGGGGTTCCTCTGTTTACTAACAGCCGCTATGTTTTTCCTATTCATTGCTTTCCTGCAAATGGAAAGACCATGTTGGATTATTTAAGAGTGAACTTTTCGCTATGGAACCAAGTCTGCAGAAGTGCACTTATTGATGGGAGAAGGAAGGGTGCAGGGTTGTTAGTGAATGGTTTATGAAAAAGTATATCGTGTAAATTGAAATCGGATGTTATGATAATATAATAGAACTCATGTGCAGGATTTTTTGAATAATTTTGATCTTTCCTTTAAGATATATCTCCAAAATTCAAGAAGCTTTGGGTGAAGCTACAATAGAAGGCATTATCTGCACTCATTGGCATTACGATCATACAGGTATTCTATTCCCTAGCATTTTGATTTTCTTTCATCAAAAGTTATGGAAAAATGTTAATTGTTACGTTTTCCAGGCGGATGTCCTTTGGTGCAAGAATATTTTACAACATCAGGCGGTGAAAAACCAAAAGTGTATAAGATGAAACATATACGCAATGTAAGGACTTTCTCAAAAGTAAAAGTACTAAACAGAGATATCTGAATTTTCAGAAAAATGTCGAAGGATGTTATTACGTCGATGAAGGGTATGTATTCAGACAAGATGGGCTTACCTTGAAAGTCATTGACTGCAGGTAATTTCGCTTTGAAATACATAATTGCATAAAATTTGAAGAAATAAGTGTTAGTGTTAATAGGATCGCTAATATTATGACATCAAGTACTTTCAATAGGACTTTTTAATACTTTGTAAAGCTAAATTTGTAACACTTTTCATCTGCAATGAAAGTAGAAACCGATTTCAATTATGAATGAAGTGGAAGGATCATTGACATCAAAAAAAAAAGGTTGCGTTTTCACGGATGTGAACAATGAGAGAAGCCAAAAAGCAATTTCAGCGTGTTGAATGACCTTAAAAGTTGGATCGAGTTGCCAGTTTAAATCTTGACGAAGCGAGCGACATTGTGATGACCTTGAATAGTTTAGTTTAACCTTTATACGCCATTATCTTACAACTAACCAGCCTATGATTATGGATAAGTTCACATATGAAGGGCATTTTAGATAGGGGAACTTGGCAAAGGAGTACTAAGGAGTAGGTCAAGCTCCTTTACGGTTTAGATACCTTCTGAAAGTTGACTAGTTTGTCTCTATCAATCACACGTCTCTTTTCACGAGGTGTAGGCGTGAGAAAAGCTCTTGAAGATGAGCGCTTTGAACAATTTAAAAACTTAAGCTTTTTCTCAAGTAAGCAGAACCCACTCACTAAGTTTTTGAACGT